CTGCTGCTGCTGCTGCTGCTAGCAATTTGTCGTAGTCGGCGTCGCGGTAGCAGCAGCGGGGTAGTGGTACCTTTAGGGGTAGGGGAGTGGTAGTGGTACATCCACCACTTCTAACCCCTACCACTGTTATTCGCAATAGTTTGATGAACGTTTATGAATCTGGTCAGTGCCACCTTTAGTTTAATTAGTCATCATTGGAAGGTCCCTCCCTCCCTCCCTCCCTCCGTCCATATGTCCATCCGCCCATTCGTCCATCCTTCCATCCGTCCATCCGTCCATCTGCCCATACGTACATCCGTCTTGTTCCATCCGGCCATCCATCCATACATGCATGCCTGCACGCGTTCAGGACATAGGATAGTGGATTTCAGATTGTTGGTTTGGGATTGTCAAGGTTTTTGCGCCTCGGCCGGCAAGCGTTTCCTTTCAAGGGACAGCAGACACCCCATGTCGACATCGACGCCTTCCTTTGGCTCTTCGGCCATGAGCTACCCTTTTTCTGGTGCCTTGGTGTGCTTCGATGTGTGCTTGGTGAGCGGGCGAGCTGCAGTCATCTCCTGCACGGAGAGCGAGAGGCTGCAAGACATGCAGGTGCGCATTGCCGGGATTCTGGAGCTGGGTAGAGACGACGAGACTCCGCTGTTGCAGTTCTTCAAGCAGGCAGACTCAGAGAAGGAACCCCTGGACCAGAGTACCCGTGCCGCAGAGATTGTTGGTTGTACAATACATGTCGTGTTGCAAGAACATCCTGACTGGTACGTGCAGAAGTGTTTTTCGAGACGTAGCACGGCCCAGTTGAATTGGGATGTGGACGAGGAAAGGACAGAAAGGTTGTCGTTGCTTCCGGATGGCCAGTTCACGTACGAGATGCGCAGACTCGCATGGGATGAGGACGTCGGGCGACTGGCTGTCAAGGAAGATATACTTCATGGCACAGGGAGATGGAGATGCGTGCTGCAGGTTGGTATGCCGGGCGCTTTGCCCGAAGAGGTCTTGCTTTTGGACGGCAGTGCAAACTGGCTGTCGTCTGGACGGGGTGGGCGCCTAGCCTCCCAACGCATCCGACGGGCCCTTCCGAAAGTGGCCCTGAAAGAATACGAGATCTCGCAGATGTTTCACTAAGGAGATTCCGGGTGGCCATTTGCGCGTGAGACGTGCCATGCTGGCAAGATTGCGCTGCAGATGCCGCCATGCCACTACAACTTTTGTAGGCCCACACCACCAAAACCACATGGATCACGAATCTTTCGGCGTTCGATTTTCCACTTTCTCGAGCATGTCTGTGACCAGACATGTTCGGAGTAGGGTTGAGGCGAGGGAGTTGTTTGTCCTTGTTACTTCACTCAGTGCACTTCGTAAGGACCGGTGCACTGGACCCAGGAGTCAATGCAAGCAGACGAAAACCTTAGGGTTTAGGGTTTAGGGTTTAGGGTTTAGGGCTTTGCTTAACTTTCTGCATTCGGATGTTGCTGGATGCTGTCCAAAACTTCATAGTAGATCACTTTTCCAGAAGCCTAACAGTTAACCTTTAGTTCTTCAAGTCAAGTACCCTGAAACCCCAAACACACCTATCACCTAAAACCCTGAACGCCCTAAAAATAGAAAGCCCTAAACCCTAAAGCCTTAAACCCCAAGCCCTAAGACCCTACTAGAAGCCTATAGCCCTAAATCCTAAACCCTAAACCCTAAATCCTAAACCCTAAACCCTAAATCCTAAACCATAAACCTAGGCGTCTCGGCTGCAGGGGTAGTGAGCCCAGCCGACGAACCCTAGTGTGGCCAGCCATTGGCCCACGACACGCTCCGCCTCGGCGTTGAGCCTACATCGTCCTCATCCTCTTCGACATCCATTGCCGCCGTTTCTGTACCTTATAGGAGGATTCGGCGAAGGGAGCCCTGCACTGGCAGCTGGCTCCGGTCGGAAGATCTCTCGCGCCTTTTGCTCAGGGAGTGGCGCCCCCGCGGACCGGCCTATTGGAAGGCGGCGACAGTTTATGAGGCTCGGATCCTTAATCCTGTCGCTTGGCGTTCTTTCTTGGGTCAGCGACTACAAGTACGGCGAAGTACAACGAATCCCCGGCTCACCGCAGACAACGCCGACTGCGGACGAAGGCCAGGACTCTGCTACGCACAGCCTTAGTGAACAGGCCAGCCAGTTGGACGAGCAAACACGAGCGGGCTGCTCGACTACTGGACGCGCACCACTCAAGGTCAACGCTACCGGAAGCCTGCAGACGTCTTCTCTGCAGCTCGGGCGACAAGATGGCAGCAACAAGAGCCTGGAAGTGCACATATTGCAATATTCTTTGCAAACAGAGCGCCGCATATTGTTCACAATGTGGAAGCTTCTGGCAGGAGGCACAGGAGACGGGCCAGCGCAGTTATGCCAGGGAAGGCACATGGGTCCCCTGGCGTTCCCAAGACTCGGGCAGATGGGAATCACCGAGACGACGAACAGGGACCTCTCCCCGCCGAAGAGCTGGGAGCAAGGGCAAAGGCGCTGCCAAAGGAGAGCCGGCGAAAGGCAAGGGCAAAGGCAAGAATCAGTTGCCGACCGCACCAGATACAAGCCAACTTCCGGCTCCTCCGAAGGCGGCAACGGCCGCGATGCCCAAAGGTATGGACCCAGGCAGTACGGGACCAGCCAGCGAGGAAAAGAAGATGCTAGCTCAGGTGATGGAGCACTTCATTGCCACGGGCGCCGAAGTGCCGACACCCCTGGCGACCCTGGTCAACCAGTACAAGGCAGACCATCATCGGCAAGAAGGACGTCAACTCCATCAATTGGTGGCAAAGCAAACTCAAGCAAAGCAGGGCTTGGCAAAGGTGGCTGCGGAAAGAGCAGCCTACGACCAGGCCTGGGCCAGCTACCTGGATCAGCTCACAGCATTGGTGGAGAAACAATTCGAGGCCCACGAGCAGGCGGTACTGCAACTCGACGAGACGGCGGAGGCATGGACAGCCCAGCTGACGGATGTGTCCAGGGCACTGGCGGAGTCTACGGCCGCCAGCTCCGAGCACAAGTCCGACATGGACGTCGAGGAAGCGGCCATCGAGGAGGCGATCGAAGCGGAGGCCAAGCGCAAGCAAGCTGTGGAAGCTATCCAGCAGAAGCACCAGTCCGTTTTGGAAGCCTTACGGGGAGCACAAAAGGCCATGCGGACGGAGGACAAGCGCGAAGGCTCCCGGACTCCGCGACGACAAGCCAAAGCAGAAGAAGCCGCGGCTGCCACGGGTACAGATGGTGGTGCGCCGCAGCCTGCATCGCAGCCAAAGGGGCCGAAGCCCCCTCAATAGGCCCTTGCTACGGCTACTCGAGCGTGCAAGGGCCGCAAGGCTTGCCGTGTGCTTGGGAGCACACGAGCCGACACACAGTGACCGGTGAATGGGACTATGTTTCGCCGGCTCTGGCGCAGCTGCTAGCTCTACAGCAGGAATATGGGGTTAAGCATGCTGAGTTGAATCTCTTCCTGGACGAGGAAGACAAGCGGCTACAAGATCAATCGATGACGCGAGCCACAGAGGTGACCCCCAGGCACGTTAACCGATTGAGCGATGCCCAATGGACTCCCGGAGAGTTATGGGGACAACTCCCGGTTGAGTCTGATGGGATATCGCTCATCGGAGCCCGGACCTCGGGGGTCAACACAGCAGGACCTGTACAGAAAATGAGAAGCGCACTCAAGACCCAACGGTCTCCTTTAAAGCTTTCTGTACAGTTTGAAGAAAATACTCATGTGTCTGTTCTTTATAAGCACTTGAGATCTCTGCAGCAACTCCTGCCACCAACACACTGCTCCATACCTGTATGCATTCCTCGCCATACAAAGGGCGGTTCCTTGTCGGACCCTAGTATGGACCAATGCATTCCTTGCCATACGAAGGGCGGTTCCATGTCGGACCCTAGTATGGACCACTGCATTCCTTGCCATACGGAGGGCGGTTCCATGTCGGACCCTAGTATGGACCGCAGCATTCCTTGCCATACGAAGGGCGGTTCCGCGTCGGACCCTAGTATGGACCACCGCATTCCTTGCCATACGAAGGGCGGTTCCGTGTCGGACCCTAGTATGGACCATCGCATTCCTTGCTATACGAAGGGCGGTTCCGTGTCGGACCCTAGTATGGACCAAGCCTTGCAAAGCAGTGTTAAAGGGCCCATGCCCTGTCCAAGTCTGAAGTACAGCACGAGCCAAGACAATGACAGCACCCAGAGCCCGCTCAAGGTACCTGGTGTAGTCACACCGAATAGGCCGCCTACAGGAGCTGTCCCTGGGCAGAAGCATTGACAGTTCACCCTCCGGAGCTCCGCGCACCGCCCATCTTTGGTGCAGCAGCACACCTCTACACGTGGGGGGGTGCGCATGGTGGCAGACCAGGCCGCTTCACCGTGTTTGATCACATAAGGCATGTGACGGTGGAGCGTTGCCTGCCCACTGCTAGTCTGGCAGAGCAGATAGCACTGGCCATTGACACAGTTCCGTTTTCGGTAGTGGGTGTCTATGTTATTGTGCAGCCGGTGCCGGGCCTACCAACACCGCAGCTCGTTTTCATTGAGAGAGGAAGGCCCCTCACAGAGCTTCCCCTAGTCTGGGACCTCCGAGAAATCGGAGAGGAAATTTTCACTCTCAGACATGAAAGCCGGCAAGAGCGAGCCGCCGCTATTCAGCAAGTGCAGCCTCTACTCCGACAGCACCCCCAATTGCAGCAGGAGGTTGAATCCGGCGCCATCCACATGCGTGATGCGCTTGGTCCGGTCCTGCACGAGCTGCAGGCGAACCTTCATGCGGTCCAATTCTTTCGCATGTCTAGGACCGATCTGCTCCAAATTGCCACATGGCAGACAGGAGGAGAACAGGCATCGCCGTCGGAAGAGACCAGCACCACCACCACAACCACTGCAGTCAGACTCGTTCCTGCTCCCATCCAGTACCCTACCTGCCGCCTTGTGCTCTTCAGGGACGACGTCGCCTACAGCTGTGACCTAGGAGAACAGCATCACCTTGTCGACCATGCCATGTGGAGGTTGATCCAAAGGCACGGACAGGATGCCCCCATCACAGACGAGGCACAGGTCGTGCTCGCCTCCGCACAACCGGTACGTAGCGGTCACCTGCAGGATGTGATTGCCATACTGGCTGAGCAGCCGAGGCAACCTACTGCGTTATGGGATGGCAGAAGCTATGGCCGTGCCATCACGGCCTTCTCGTACCCTGAAATACAACGGACAGGCCTGCTGCTCCCAACTGACACGCAGAGGAACGGATGGAGAGTGACCATCAACGGCGTCCCAGATGCCCACCAGAGCAGACTACTGCGACACGGCGACTATGTCATTCCCTTCCATGGCAACCAAATTCCGGCCGTCACGCCACTCGGCTGGCCCCTGTCGCAGTACCCATCTTTGAGGCCCTATTCGTGGCCCCTTGCGGTGACGGCCAGCGCGGATGCTTTTCATCGCCGACTCCGGCATCGGAGGCTCCAAATGGGAGCACACCTTGCCAGTGAAGGAGTGATAGTAGTTCAGGGGCCCGTCCACGGGGACTTGATCTTGCATACTGGGCTGCATTCGATCCCCACCCTGCCGCAGGCACAGGCAGCCGTTAGACGGCTCGGACAATTTCCGGAAGGTCTTGCTTTTACTGTGACACCGCAGGTTGGGCCTACATCCGTGACACTGGTCAGCAACTGCCCCAACTCAGAGCTGAATACGGTCTTAACTCCTGCCCCGGGCTTCCCGACTCAGTTCTTGGTGCTATTGCTGCCGACAACTGCCAGATGCCTCCGATCGATACCGGCCGACCCAGGAGTCCTCTTAACACCACAACGTGATCTTGAGATGGGAGATGTTCTTCAGACCCGAGCTGCCACGGTCGCTGCGGCAACCACCGAGGATGACAGCGCGGAGGAGGAGCCTGAGGCAGATGAGACAGCCATGTTGCAGCAGCATGCCCTCCAGGCTAGGCAACAGGAGCCCACTCCAGGGCAGGCGGCCTGGACCCGATGCACTACTGCGCACCCCGGCAGACCCAGTGTCCCCACGCCTTTCGGCAGACGCTGTGTGCCTCCACCAGACTCCGCGCAGGCAGCTGCCAAAAAGGGGTCCATCCAGGTGGCAGGCCAGCAGACAGCCGCCAAGACCAGGACCATTCTCAGTCTTGAGCAGGCTATACCGCAGACCACAACTAAAGAAATTCTGGAACACCGTCTCAGCTTTGCCACATCTACGGACATCCAGGCTGAGGTTCTGGCCCCTTTCCGGCTGGCCAAATTGCAGCAGCAGTGGCGGGGCATTCCCTTGCACGTCCAGGCGGAGGTCCTCCTCCAAGGTCTAGAGGTACATGACAGCAGCGAACCTGTTGAGGCGGCCCTGCTGTACACGGACGGGTCCTACGCACCTCACACAGGCCAGGCGTCATGGGCTGTTGCAATAATTGTTTGCGCCCGTAGTCGGTGGCGTTGGGCTGGCTACTTGTCAGGTAGATCCTGCGACAGCCTGCCAATGCAAAGTGCTTTTGATGCTGAGGTTGCCGCCCAGACGGCCGCTCACCTTGTATGCGCAGCTAATGGCTGGACACACACAGCCATCTGTTTTGATGCCACCTCTGCTGCAGCCGCAGCCCAGGGCGGCACAGCAGGGGTACACACCAATGGTATCCAACGTGCCGCGGCGGCCAGCCGCATGCATCTAGTCATACAAGGCCAGGCGCCGAGGCTGCACCACACAAAAAGCCATGAAGGCAATCCAGGCAATGAACTGGCTGACTCAATTGCCACATGGGCACGTGCACAGCCCCGGAGTGAGCTGGACCGTCATTTGGCATGTATTATCCAAGAACGGCTCCTTGACTGGCTGTGGCTGGTAGATGCTAGCCATCAGGGCCACGAATGGCCGGCCCTTGATGAACAGGGCACTACACATGCAGCTGGCAGAGAGACGACTCACCGGCTGCCATCAGCCCCTGCCGCCTGGACCATGGCAACAGACAAGAGCAACAAGCCCCCTGTTCAACTCCATTGGAGGGTGTGCACCTATAACACACTGTCTGCCAGATCATCTTTGCAGAAGCACAGCCTGCACACTTTTATGCGCGCCAACGCGCTAGATGTTCTAGCGTTGCAGGAGGCGCGGGAGAGTCCGGAGCCCATTAAAATCCAAGATGGGGTGTATCGGTTCGCCAGCCCGGCCCAGGCTGGACAATGCGGGTGCCAACTATGGGTAGACACCCGAAGGCGCAATGCACTCTGGGACACGCAAACGTTTGCCATCCTCCATAGTCACCCCAGACTGTTGGCAGTACAGGCTATGTTCGCCGGCACGAGATGTGTCCTGATCTCAGGCCATGCCCGTACGGCGGTCTCCACCCCAGCTGAAATTCAAACGTGGTGGGAGCAGCTCCGCAAGGTGCTCAGGCGCCTACCTCGAGGCAGCATCCCCCTCCTTTGTTTAGATGCCAATGCACGGTGGACGGCCAGCGCGCCGGCCAATGACAATGCTATGCACATGGAAGCGCTTCTTAGCGAGGCGGCGCTTGCCAGCTCTGGCGCCATAGACTGTCATGGTCGCCCTGTCTTCACGTGGACTTCTCCGCAAGGACAAAAAGCCTGTCTTGACTATGTGCTCTTTCCACAAGAATGGAAGCCAGTGGTACGCAACCAGGGCATTCTGCCCATAGTGGACGAGCACGCAGGCTTCGACCATGAGCCACTCCTCGTCACACTCGATGTGGTCTTGCCGGCGCATGCCGTTGCCAAAACGCACCGCCTGGATATTGAGCTCATGCACTCACCGGCCGGCAAGCAATGCATAGCTGAGATTTTTCATTCAGCCCCAAGGCCGGCCTGGACTGTAGGGGTGGATGAACATTTGGATAGGCTCAATGCCCACTTTCAAGAAGCGTTGCACAGATGTTTTCCCAAGTCGCCGCAAGCCCCCCGCAGCCCTATCATTTCCAGTCACGTGGGCCCTCTTGGCATGCAAGCGCCGGTTACGACGGATCCACCGTGACCGACGCGCAGCCCGTACAGCGACGCTGTTGAAGCACTGCTTTAGAGCCTGGAAGGATTCTTCTGACACGGTCAGAGCTCAGCTGCAGGCTAGCGCTCATTGCCATGCGCAGTTCCGCCACCTTGCCGAGGATGCGCGTTACTGCCTGCACATCCGCAAGCTTACCGGAAGACTCAAGCGCGCCACCCGGCAGGATGAAGCAAACTTCACGCGTCGTGTCTTCACAGAAGCGGGATCAGGCGGGCCGGCACGCATGGCCCATCTCATTCGAGCAGTTTTAAAGACAGGCCGAAAATACAGGGCCCCGAGACTGGCTATTACACTCCAGCAAGGGGATGCGCTAGACACCGACAGGTGCTCAGTCCTGCGCAAGCTCGGCCAGCATTTTGCCCAGGCGGAACAGGCCACTTCGGTTCCATTTGCCAGCATCACTGAGGAGGCCGACCTGGAACTGGCATTTCAGCTTGAGGCCAGCCAGCTCCCAACTCCAGTCGACTTGACGCGGGGGTTTGCAGCGCTCAAGACACGACGTGCACCCGGACTGTCGGGTCTCCCAGGAGACTTCTACCACGCTGCGCCGGCCCTTGCGGCGGCCACTCATTATCCGGTCCTTCTCAAAGCAGCAGCACGAGGGAGAGCCCCGCTCCTCTGGGCGGGATCACATTCCATCCCGCTTCCTAAACCCAATAAGTGCCCGACAGAACCGGCGGGTTACCGCGCAATCGCTTTACTGGAAAGCGCAGCCAAAGCGGCCGGAAAGGCCATGCGACAGAGCCTACTACGTGGCCTCGAAAGGGTAATCCAGCCCGGAACAGCTGGAGCCCGAAAGGAGGTCCCGTTGGAAATCCCCGCGCTAACGGGTCAGGCGTACTTAGATTCGCTCCGGGCAAGAGGCCGATCCGGGGCGCTTTTGTACGTTGACGGGATCAGCGCGTTCTACGCGACGAACCGTCGCATACTCTGCCAGGGAGACGACAGGGAACGCATCGAGTGGATCAACTCGCTGCCTATAGAGGCCTCCGTCAGACAAGCCTACCACGACATTACTGGAGGCCAGTCAGCCTTGCAGAGAGCAGAAATCGAGCAATGCGTGCAGCAACTGGTGCAGGCGCATTTCGCATGCACCTGGTTCACGACGTTACCGGAGGATACGGCCATCTTCAAGACAGAAGCCGGGACAGTACCAGGTGCACCTCTGGCGGACCTGCTTTTCCAACTTGTGATAGCAGCCAGCTTTGAGTGCCTATGCAGTTGTCTTAGGAATGAAGGCCTCCTGGCCAACGTTGCTTCGCAAGAGGCTAGTCTGATGACGTGGATGGACGACTTTGCCGTTCCGGTGGAAGCTGATTCAGCTCCGGAACTGCCTCAACGCCTGGCGAGAACGGCGAGCCTCACGGCTCAGGCACTGAGCACCTCAGGTATTTCCATGAATTTTGCACCAGGCAAGTCAGAAGCAATCCTGATTGTTCAGGGCAAAGGGTCTCGCCGGGTCATGGAAGATGTATTTGTTCATGGCCAGGGCACCCTGGACGTGTCCCTCCCTACGGGCGGACGAGCTCAGCTAGTCTGCACGGATAAGTACATACACCTGGGCAACTGTCGTAATCCAGACTGCAATGCGGTGCCCGACTTGCAGCGCCGGCAAGCCGCCACACACCACGTATGCGTCAAGGTATGCAGCCGACTACTGACCAATCCGGTCCTCACGAGACCGGAGAAGAGGCATTTTTTCTTCACTTTGGTCATGACGCGCTTCCTACACGGCCTGGCTACCTGGGCTATGCCCACACGCAAAGAACAGGATACCTACAGGGCAGCGTACATGGGCTTTCTCAGGCGTGCTGTTTGCCCGATGCTTGGTTACAGGTGTTGGCGTATGTCAGATGATCATGTGTGCCGTTCTACATGCCCTCCTTCCGGAGGAAGCCCTTCATATTGGACGGCTGCGGCTTTTGTCGCAGATCCAGCACCAAGGAACGCCATTCCTGCGTCAACTGCTGTTGACTTCCGGAACTTGGCTTTCACAGGCCAGGCAGGCAGTCGCGTGGCTGCTCGCGCTTCAGCTCGACCAAGATCTGGCGCAATGGGCCAAGCAAGGGACAGGTGACGCTCAGCTGTTGCAGTGGCCACTGACGGCAGCAAAAACAAAGCACATACTGAAACTGGCCAGGCAGAAGTGCGTCCAGGCACGGTCCATCATCGAGCCTATGGCCGCCCAAAGAGCCAAGGCCTTGCAACGAGCGGAGGCCAAGGGACTTCTAATTGTTAAAATCAGGTCGGGGCCACTCACCTGTCGTTGTGATCAGTGCGGCCAACTGTGTTCCACCATGTCGGCTCTTGCAGCACATCGGCAAAAACTCCATGGCTACAGGCCGGCCCAGCGCACAGCCATAGGGACAAGTTGCCAGGTGTGTTCTCGTGAATTCTGGGCGACCAGTCGTCTCAGACAACATCTTCGCCAATCGCGGGTCTGCAGTGCCACATATGTTGGTGCCGACCTCGACCCTCAGCCTGACGAGGTCAAGGGCACCAAGTTATACCCTGTCCAGCCCTTGGTTGGACCTCGCCCTTTCTGGGCCACGCTCCGGCCTGCCCCAGAGCAGGATTCCGTTCAGACTCCCTCAATCGCTGAGGCTCCCCTGCTCGATGCCCTACGGGCTATCTCCAAGACTTGCCAGCCTTTTGTCGTAGCTGGATTAGGGCTGCCAATACTGCAGAGGTAGAGTCTGTGAGAGCTCAAGTGCCCATAGATGTGAGCGAGGAGGTTCCGAGCGCGCAGCGTTTTGCGGTGGCTTGGATCCATTTTTGTGTTGCGACTCCCGAGTCGCCATTTTCGGCGAGTGGTCTGACGATAGTACAGTTTCCAGGCAAGCTCATGATTGCTACAGATGAGGTCATGAGTGAGCTGTTGTCGTCTACAACGCTTGCCCTGCTTGCATGAACGAATGCATGGCGCGTCACATGACTCGAGCCAATCCCGAAGAAGAAACCATAAACCTAGAACCTAAACCCCAAAAGATATAGCCCTAAGCCCTAAGACCCTAGAAGCCTAAATGGTGGACCAGGCCCGGGACGATGGACGTCTAGGCCTTTATCGAGCTGGCCGTGAAGCCGGAACATGAACCCTCAGATGTTCGGCTTCGGGTTTAGGGATTAGGGTTTTAGAGCTTAGGGTTTTAGAGTTTAGGGTTTTAGGTTTTAGGGTTTAAGGTGTAGGGTTTAGGGTTTAGGGCTTGGGGTTTAAGGCTTGGGGTTTAGGGTTTGGGGTTTAGGGTTTGGGGGTCTTGGAACCCCTAAGCCCTAAACCCCAAACACTGAACCCTTAAACCCTAAAGCCTACACCCTAAACCATATCCCCGAAATCCTAAGCCCAAACCCTTTAGAAGCATACTGAATAATGACTTGTATTATCCCTGAGGGTTCCCTATTTCAACTGTAGTATATTTCGAAACCCTACACCCTAAACCCTAAACCCTAAACCCTAAACCCTAAACCCTAAACCCTAAACCCTAAACCCTACACCCGAAACCCCAAACTTCCTTGAACCCCAAACCCTAAACCCTAAACCACGCCTCTAAACCCTACACCCCAAACTTTAAACCCTAAACCCTAAACCCTAAACCCTAAACCCTAAACCCTAAACCCCAAACTCTAAACCCTAAACCAACACCGTAGACCCTGAGCACCAGCTCCGGCCTCTCAAGGCATTGGGGGTGCGTTTGTTGATGAGGGGAGGGGGTGTTTGTTATGGGTTTAGGGTTGAGAGGTTTAGGGTTTAGGGTTGAGAGGTTTAGGGTTGAGAGGTTTAGGGTGCAGGATACCCTTTTGCATGAAAAGGCTATTTTCTTTCATGTTCTCGGCTACAGAGACCCTTTTCTAACTCTCAAACTTTAAATAGCCGAAACCCTAACCCTCAACAATGAGAATAGGGTTTGGGGGTATGTTGTACTACGATTATTATTATTCTGATTATTATTCTGATTATTATTATTATATGGAATGCCCAAACCCCCATTCTAATTATTAAGGCCCCTAATATAGAACCCTACTATAGATCCGTTATAGAACCCTTTTATTACTCGGTCTGTGGGTCTTGAAGGAGGGTTTTTCCTTTTGGGGGTATGGTTTAGGGTTTAGAGTTTAGGGGTCAAACCCTTTTGAACATTTTGAAGCCGTCAGCGGCCCGATATTTAGGCTTTGAGCTGAGAGACGTATCCCTGGCGCCTGACCTCTCAACGCCCGATTGCGTTGTTATCAGTAAGAGCAGCCCCAGCAGCAAAAGCTCACAGCACCAGGCGTCATGAATATCGCCCTCACCACCATTGTCGTTGGCCTCCTGCTCATCATCATCGTAACCTCATGAACCCTAAGCTTTCAACACTAAGCCTCAAAGAGCCGAACCCTTACACCGTCCACCCTAGACCCTAAAACCTAAACCCTACACCCTAAGGATGTTGGGGCCTCGGGGTACCCAAAGAACCTCCAAGTGGAAGTGTCACGGAATCAGCCCTGAATAGCGGTATCAGCAGGGTGTTGGGTTTTGGAGTTAGGGCCAGTTAGGGGTCAGACTAACCAGATATCGTAGTATTCCCTTTTTTCTCTAGGACCTACATAGTTGAAGAGTCATATACCTCCAAACCCTGCTCTATCCATTGGCTCCAGCACACAAAGCCCGTTTCAAACCCCGATAACCCGATAAACTCGCTTGACACTATTAAGAACACTCTTCGGGACCTTAAATACCCTAAACCCTAAACCCTACCCCAGCCCCAAAGAACCTGCCTCCCTAGAATTCCTTATTCTGATATCTTGATAGACGTCCATAGAAAAGCAGGTTGTTTAGGATCCAGGTACCCTAAACCCTAAACCCTAAGCCCTAAACCTTAAGCCCGAAGCCCTAGACCCAAAGCCCTAAACCCTAAGCCCTGAACCCTAAACCCTGAACCCTAAACCCCAAACCCAATGGCCCCAGGCCCAATTAGTTGGTTGGAGCTGTGCATCTGCCGGGTTTGTGGTATGGGTTTTGGGGTTCAGGGTTTAGGGGTTTAGTGTTTAGGGTTTAGGGTCCAGGGTTTAGGGTTTGGGTTTTGGGGTGGGGTTTAAGGTTTAGGGTTTAGGGTTTGGGGGTGTGTGTTCGGAGTAGCACTCAGGTAAGGGTGCATGAGAACACTGGTCGGCTGCATTTGCATTCAAGGGGCTGAAGGCCATACGCCATGTCGGCATCGACGCCTCCCTTTGGCTCTTCGGCCATGAGCTGCACCGTTTCTGGTGCCTTGGTGTGCTTCGATGTGTGCTTGGTGAGCGGGCGAGCTGCAGTCATCTCCTGCACGGAGAGCGAGAGGCTGCAAGACATGCAGGTGCACATTGCCGGGGTTCTGGAGCTAGGTAGAGACGACGAGACTCCGCTGTTGCAGTTCTTCAAGCAGGCAGACTCAGAGAAGGAACCCCTGGACCAGAGTACCCGTGCCGCAGACATTGTTGGTTGTACAGTACATGTCGTGTTGCAAGAACATCCTGACTGGTATGTGCAGAAGTGTTTTTCGAGACGTAGCACGGCCCAGTTGAATTGGGATGTGGACGAGGAGAGGACAGAAAGGTTGTCGTTGCTTCCGGATGGCCAGTTCACGTACGAGATGCGCAGACTCGCATGGGATGAGGACGTCGGGCGACTGGCTGTCAAGGAAGATATACTTCATGGCACAGGGAGATGGAGATGTGTGCTGCAGGTTGGTATGCCGGGCGCTTTGCCCGAAGAGGTCTTGCTTTTGGACGGCAGTGCAAACTGGCTGTCGCCTGGACGGGGTGGGCGCCTAGCCTCCCAACGCATCCGACGGGCCCTTCCGAAAGTGGCCCTGAAAGAATACGAGATTTCGCTGCTGCTCACTTGACAAGCATCTTGTCACGGAGCAGCTTTGTAGTTCTTTGCAGAACGTTTCCTTGAAAGCACTCGCGCCACCGATGATGCAATGTGTACAACTGCACAACCCAAACCCTCAAACTGAGTTGCGAGTGCCTTCTTCATTCCGAAAGATGTGCTCTCAGCATGGCTTCCCCCTTGAAGGCGACAGAAGCAAGCTGAGACCGAAATCGTAAACCGGCTTAGGAATTGGGGGTTCCCAACCCCGAGCCCCTAAACCCTAAACCCTAAACCCTAAGGCCCCGAACCTCGAGCCCGAGATTCAAAATCCCGAAAGCCACCGACCCTAAACCCTAAACCCTAAACCCTAAACCCTAAACCGCCCCGCTTTGCAATGCAGAAATCGAGGGCAGCCTGCAGTTGCTACAGCCCGGAAGCTCAAAAGAGCGCTGCTCTGCTTCCGGTTTAGGGTTTAGGGTTTAGGGTTTAGGGTTTAGGGGTTGGGGGTTTGGGGTTAGGGGTTAAGGGGCTTAGGGTTGTCGGGGCAATTGGACTGTTCTAGAAGGGTCTTATTATACGGCTCTGGAAGCCCTATATCTTTAAGCCTTGTTTCACCTTCGTCACAAGACTGTACCCTAAACCCCGAACCCTTGCAACCCTAAACCCTTAAACCCTAGAAGCCCTAAAAGCCCTAAACGCCTAAACCCTAAACCCTGAAGCCCTAAAACCCTAAACCCTAAACCTTCAAGCAGAGCCCGTTCTGGGTCCCTTGAAGGCTTTCCTGGAGGGATCTACACCGGTTCTGCGGATTTTCGGGTTTGGACTTCAGAGAATAGGGTTTAGGAGGGTATAGGGCTTTAGGGAACTCCCTTCAAAATATCTAGTTTACCGACCTCCGTGTGTAGTCAAGTTCATCCACAGTGCGCGGTTTGGCTTTCGACGGGTGATGTTGCTTTGCAGACTTTCAGGTGTAGTAGAGCCGTAAAAAATCTAGAAGAGCGTGACTAAGCCCATCCAAAGTTCCAAACACTGAGGGACGTCTGCACAGACAGGAAAGTCTAAATGACCAGACCCAAAATGTCAAAACCAAGCCAGAAACAGTATTGTAGGGGCCTAAATAATTTATTTCCTATACTATTTTGGGGTTCCTCATTATCATTATAGTATAAATATACCCCCAAACCCTATTCTAATTATTAAGGCCCCTACATTAAACCCCGCAAGCCCTTGAGCCTGACACCTTCAAGCCCTTTTCAAACCCTCATACAGGGTCTAGAGTTTAGGGTTTAAGTTTTAGGGTCTAGGGTTTAGGATTCAAGTCGTTCTCAAACCCTCATACAACCCTTATAAAGCCCTTACAAGACCCACTCCAGCACTCGAGAGAACCAGAAACCCTAAACTCGAAAACCCCGCTTGCAGTACAAGCCAGCCTTTGTAGAGCTCTTAGATGAAGTGATCTTGCAGGCCGCATTTGGAAAGCTTCTAGTCGCAGTCAAAGTCCGTACAAAAACCTCGAAACCCAAAACTCAGAGCCTATATTGAACCCTGCACAGTACCTTGAAAACCCACCCTGAAGCCCTAAACCCTAGACCCCCAAACCCTAAACCGTAATCCCAAAGCCCCAACGCCAAGTGCAGGAGTGACGAAGGGAATAGCCCGAGATGAAATTCTTTTCCGGCACGAAGACTCCACGCTCCTATCAGGCAGCGCGGGAAGGGACCCTAAGCCCTAACACCCCCAAACCCTCAACCCTAAACCCCAAACCCTCAACCCTCAACCCTAAACCCTCAACCCTAAACCCGAAACCCCAAACCCTAAGCCCTAAAACCAAAACCCCAAAACACAAACCCTAAACCCTAAACCCAAAACCCTAAGCCCTAAACCCTAAGACCTAAACCCTAAACCCTAAACCCTGAACCCTGAACCCTAAACCCTAAACCCTAAACCTGAACCCAGAAGCCTCCAAAAAGCCTAAAAATCTTAAACCCTCAAGCCCCCCAAGCCCTATATCAACCCTAGACCCCAAACCCTAAATCAATCCTAAACCCCTGAGCCGCAAACCCTAGATCAATCCTAAACCCTAAGCCGAACATCCTTACACCGATCCTAAACCCTAGGCCGCAAATCCTTAAATCAATTCGAAACCCTAGGCCGCAAATCCTTAGAACACTGCTATACCCTAAACCCTAAAAGCCTAAACCCTAAACCCCTAAATTCATTCTAAATCTTATGCTGCAAATCCCTAATCTAAGCCCTAAACCCTAAACCCCTAACCCTAAACCCCAAACCCTAAACCTAGAAATCTGCCTTTGCAAGGC